AAGAATATCAAAACTTCAAGCTGATTTCAGTAGATGAAAAGTTATTGAAAATTCCGAAAGAATTCTCTCTCGATTGACAAGCGGAGCGACGCTTGAATTGGGAAATATTCCGTTGAGGGTTTGTGATGCCCTATTGTGTACCGGCGAAGGCAAGGGTTTCCTCCACAGCAAATGGATTAATTTCGTGGCGCGCGACGGTCCTCACCAGAACCTTCTTCTTGGACCCTTGTCCAGAGTTCTTCAAGTCCTCTATCTTCTGTAGGGCCAGAGCCAGTAATGAATAAGGAAGGTTCTTGCCTGGGGTAAGCTGAAAGAAAAATACCCTCGCTGGGAATCGAACCTGCGTCCTATGCGACTCACTTTGATTTGACTGAATTTGGAAGGATCGAAGGCGGGAGAAGAAATGTCACTGATAGCCGTAGGACTTTTCCCTAAAACGATGATGAATCAATCCGAATCCCCTACGAGTAAGTGACATGAAAACTCACAATAGCAATTATCATTTTTCTCACTTCTGATATCCTGCACTGGTTATTCCACGCAGTATCAAAGAGAGTTGATATCAGATAACAGATGAGAACGGAAAATACGTCAACCTTCCAATCTTACGCCCACGCCTCGACGGGACAATGAAATTCACACCGGTATATTATATACGCTTGAATGCGGTAAACATAGGGACGTTTTAACTCTACCAATGAAAACCACCTCAACAGTTCTTACCAGCTGCAATTGACACCTTCCAAATGGACGAAGGACCTGGTAGTGGCCATAACATACCATGTTAACCCAAGAGGAACCTTACCAGTGCCCTTAGTGATTTGGGCCAGCTTTTCCGCATCAGTCTTGCCAGGCTGCTTTAGAGCCTCTGCCAGAGGGATCGTGCTGAAGACGACCAGGAATAGGAAATTTCTCCCCCACTACGATTTTCCTCGGGGAAAGGTTTGTTGTAGAGAGTCTAGCTATGGATAAACATTCAACTTTTGATATTTTCCAAGGAATAATGACAAAAAAGTTAATCACGGAGAGAACATCCTCGTTACGGAATATCATCATCATCATCATCTTCATAATCGTCATCCACTTCTTCTTCGTCTGAGTTCATCTTGTCCTCCACTGTGGGCTGAAAAAAACTCAAAATTATCGAAAAAAAATGGGGAAAAACTTACTTGATCCACAGCAGTCTGTTGGTCGTCCACTTTTTCATCTTCTTTCTCTTCAACTTTCTCAATTTTTCTCTTCTTTTCCACTGGCTCCTCAACTTTGTTTTTATCAGGCGAAATTGCTGTCGATCGCTTCGCTCCGCTCATCATCATCGTAAAAGCGTTGACGGCTGTTGGTGACATGTTTTCTTTCGAAGAGGAAGAGGAAGAGGAGGAGGACATACTCGAGGCAACAACGGAGACTTCTGAAGAGCTCTTCGATCACATACAAAAGAGGTGGAAGAGGTTGGAGAAACGACACCTGTGGGATTCGAACCCGCATATACATATCGTGGCTGTTCCTAACGAGGTCGTGTATATCCGTATTTCCCGTATAGTATTAGAGTCTATCCAGATTCCTGCCATACTCTTACTCTTCACCGGAGGCATCTCATTCTACTGCAAAAATCATAAGGAACATGCATGTGTCAATCAAATACGGTGTAGTGTTCATCCATTCCACAAGCAATTGAATAGGGCCTCCACCCAGTCCCCGCCTGCTTCACCGACGCACGTCGAAGCGCTACATCAACGTTACTGCCCAAGGTGCGTTAATTATTCCGATACTGTGAGTATTTATCTCACCAATTCCCACAATGTCGTTAGTCGGTGGGATGACGGAAACATTCTCGTAAAATCCCAACTCAGGGCCCCAGAGGGAATCGGCCATCAAGGAGCTAGATATCGATAGTACTATG